ATTTCATATATTTTGTTAATTTCTCTTGATTTCAAGATACCTGTGAGCATTTACAACCAATCCCAAATTTGATATGATAAATCAAAGTAATTAAAGATATATTGCTAAAAGAAAAATATGTATTACCTACTTTATCCGCCTTATCAGTGGTTTCCAAGCTTTGCTCTAAAGACCCTAAGTGTTTCAGGAAGATATTTTGGTGGCAATCATATACTAAGAGGTGCACTCCATTGCTAAGACAATTCTTCACTAAAATGCTTTAGCTATTGCTCACCTTTATAAAACTTCGTTTTCAGAAATAGTAAGGTAATGTTTGAAAATCACTGAACTAAACAGATAGGAAAGAACAGCAGCATCAATTAAAATGTATAAAATGCTGTATATTTTTTCAAGTAAAGCATGAGCTCTAACAATTAATGTCTGTCTCATCCCCTGTTCAGAGAACAAACATAATATGGTTGTGCATAAAATAATCAAATTTTGCTTAACAAATAAGTTGCTTAACAAATTTGTTGCTTAATAAGTAAATGAATAAACAGCCTCACTAGATAATCTGAGCAGATATCATTTGGATTGTATACAAAATGAAAGAGAAGCTCAGAATCATAAGAGACAAACATTTACACTATCAGTAAGTAAAAGAATCAAACAGAATAATCCAACTCTTCCACCTCCTAGTTCATAACACTTTTGGATCAAATCTGGGGAAAAGAAGGGAAGGAAGCATCAGGGAATGAGGAATGTAGGAAGAGGGGGGAACAGTTTATTTTGCTTTCTGCCATAGTTACCTCTCATTTGCTTTATTTAGTAAGAAACACACAACAAATGTAGTGAGAAAAAAAATATTCCACTTTTGAAAATATAATTGTTAGTATGGATATTGATCCAAATGTTCTGTTCTAATTGATAATAACACACAAGACCTGCATTCTTCTCTTTTTAAAAGTAAAAGTATTTTTCCTGGGAGTTTAATGCAAGTGTAACACTACTCTTTCTTCCAGCTGTTATTTCCTTCCCTTCTCACCAGTCCTTTGAACACCTGTAAAAGGTTGGTTTCTCACTTCCTCTTCCCATCTGCCTGGGACTTCCCCTGAGCACCATGCTGACATGGCTTCCTCCTTCCTCATTCCCTGGAGTTATAGTGGTGGTAGTAAGTGAAGGAATTTAAGGGTTCAATTAATAAAAATTCCATCTTTTTTTAATATATTTACATTACATTTATGCATTATCCCCAAATCTTAAAAACAAATGTATTCATGTTTTATTGTTACCATGTTAAATATCATAAATTTCTGGACTTAATAAAAATTTATTATCTCATAATTTGTGAGTCCAAGATCAATATTTCCTCATCAGTTTCACTTTAGACAATGTTTCTCATCTTTTTATTTTTTAATACTTTTTTTTTAAGATTTATTTTTATTTATTTATACAAGCGCTGGGTACAGTGAGAAGCGCAGGAGGGTGAGAGAATTCACCAGAGCCAGAGCGGGGAGCAGAGCAGGCAGAGGGACCGAAGTACACTGCTGAGGGGAGCAGCGGGCGGCAGGAGAGGTCTGCGCGCCATGTGGGACCCTCCTCCAGTGGCCGGGGAGCAGCCGGGGATCGAACCGGCGCTGCAGAGGCTGTGGGCAGCTTCGCAACCCAGTGATCAACTGCTGCGCCACCGGGGAGGCCCTCATCTCCTTTTTAGATAGATGCAGTCATGTGATTGATTGTTAGACAATAGGAGGCCTCTAAATTTCCTCCTGCATGCTTTGCTGTGTTTATTCTTTTGTCTGATCTGCAGCCTAGCTCTAGAAGTAGTCAAGAGATTAGCAGCCTGTTCTCCTTAGTGTAGGCTCCAGGGGAGGGTTAATTTCCTATTCATTCAGGTTGTTGACAAAATTCAGCTCCATTTTGTTGTAGAGCCAAGTCACCATTTTCTCTCAAGAACTTCGAAATTCCACCATGTTCCTTGATCTATGATGCTTTCCTCCATTTTCCAGGCCAATAATGGCGGGTTGTGTCCTCCTCAGACTGCAGCTCTGTGACCCACTCTTGTTTATTCATCTCACTTCTAAAGAATCCTAGATTGTGCTCACCCAGATAACCCACAATAATCTCATCTCAAGGACCTCAACTTTAACCTTATCTTCAGTCTCATGCTATGTAAGGTGTCATAATTACATAGTCTGTAGATTACAGATATGAATGTCCTTGGACAACCATTATTCTGACTACCATGAGGGAAATAACTACTTAAATTAAGAATCTATAGATTTACTATGTGACTAAAAATACAGAAAATATCAAGAAAATTTTTTTTATTTTATAGTCATTATTTATATTATATCTGAAGACCTAGCACACAGTTGATATGCATATTCTCCTATGACTTACTTTTAACCATTAACTTTATGCCAATTTCACTTACAATAAATTTTGCATTTATCAAGTTGAAAGATATGTAGTAAATTGAACATCAAGAAATCCAGAAGTACAAACAATAGAAAACAATTTAAAGTAGATATTTCTCAGAAATCTAAAAATAGAGGTAGAGATATAGCTAGGTTACAGACAGGTAATAAATATTTCTTCACCACATTTTTCTTCAGTGATCAAACTATTGTTTCAGAGACAGTTTTATAAAATTATACATGTAGGACCTCTCTGGAGGCACAAGGGGTTAACTCAGCACTATGAAGCTATCAGCAGCCACAACAGCATGAGTTCGATCCCCAGCCAGGGAGCTACCCACATGGCACAGCAGACCTCTCCATTCTCAACTACTGCACCCCTCAGCATTGTATTTCAGTCAATCTGACTGTTCTGCTCCCCACTCTGTCTCTGGTGAATCTTCTCACCCCCTGCACCTCTGGCCTGTACCCCAGTTCTTGTATGCATAAATAAATAATTATTTTATTTTATTTTACTTTTTTTTAACATCATTGTTCATTTTTAAACAATATTTGCTCCCCCCCTCAGGTGTAGTCCCCATAGAAATTCCTTCACCAATGCACTTATACATATAATCAAAGCATGTAGCAGTGACTAGCAAACTAAGGGCAAACCAAAAAGGGAAATAGATGTGAATCCAGAGGGAAAAACGGTAATAAGCTAAAAACAGGGCCTCCCTGGTGGCACAAGGGGTTAAGCACCGCACTACAAAGCAATCCGCAGCCTCTGTAGCACAAGTTCGATCCCTGGCTGGCCAGGGAGCAATCCACATGGCAAGGCAGATCTCTCCTGTCTCACCCACTGCTCCCCTCAGCAGTGTATTTCAATTAGTCTGCCTGTTCTGTTCCCCACTCTGTCTCTGGTGAATCCTCTTACAGGCATCTCTGGCCTGTACCCCAGCTCTTGTGTGCATAAATAAATAAATCTTTAAGAAAAAAAAAGTTAAAAACAAAGTGTGGCCCTATTCCTACAGTATTATTTGATGGTAAACTCCATTATCAGATCCAATGCCTATTTTTATCACTCTTTATGCACAGTACTAAGCACAGTGCCTGACACGTAGAAAGCACTAGATAAATATAAAGCACCTTCAATTTAATTGTATTAATACAATTTAAATTATCTAATAATTTAAATTAATTGTTTAATTATTTACCTAATAGTCATATGACAAGGCAGTTAAGGTAAAAACTACGCATTGATAAAAATGAGAGATTTTTTTCTCTAATATTTACATTAAATCACTGCTAATCTGAGAGTAGGTTTTTGAAATCAAATGCTATTTCTATCTTACAAATCCCGAGAGCCACATAATGATAATAAAGAAAAATTCATAGATTTTGTGGCTTTCATTTACCTTTATTTTTTGCCCTCCCCCCTCATTTACCTTTAGTGTTTAAATTTTATAATATGAATTGACAATATAATGCAAGAAATTAGAAAAGAACTAAAGAAATTATTGAAAATATTCTGAAACAAATCTTTTTCAACTCTTTAAACCATTAAAATTGATTAAGTTGTCTTATGGGGTAATTTGTCCACAATTTGTCCCACAGATGTGATAGGAATATGTGATGACCATATGAAGTCAAATTAAAATGTTTCTTCTTTTTAATGGATAATTTACAGAACACAAACTGAAAGGCCTCTGTATGATTTTTTTTTAATTTCATATTGACTTTTTTCCCCTAAATAATACTTGACACAGAATACAGATACATAGTCCATTACACAAAGCTTCTCTATATAAAATTTGAGTGAAGAGGGCCTCCCCGGTGGCGTAGCGGTTGAGCTCTGGGTTGAAAAGCTGCCCGCAGCCTCTGCAGCCTCTGCAGCGCCGGTTCGATCCCCGGCTGCTCCCCGGCCACCGGAGGAGTGTCCCACATGGCGCGCAGACCTCTCCTGCCGCCCGCTGCTCCCCTCAGCAGTGTACTTCGGTCCTTCTGCCCGCTCTGCTCCCCCCTCTGGCTCTGGTGAATTCTCTCGCCCTCCCGCACTTCTGACTGTACCCAGTGCTTGTATAAATAAATAAATAAATCTTTAAAAAATTTTTAAAAAAAATTTTGAGTGAAGATATGAACACATGGTTTATCTCACTTTCAATCTCAGCATCAACACCCTTTCTCTCTCACCACCACCCTTACACAGAAAAACCACTCTGTGACAGATATAGGGGAAAACCACTGACCTAGTTCAATCTTCCTCAATTAACAGGGGAATGCACCAAATTCTGAAGAAGCAAAGGGATTTACCCAAAAGAAACATTTAGCAGATCGGTGTGTTAATAAGATTTAGCTTTGTTTCTGGGCTGCATGTTTTCAAATAAGGTGTTAATTTTGCTAAACCTCAGTTTCCTCAGATGCAAAATAGAGGTAGTAATACCTGCTTCGACAGATATTGAAATAAGAAATAGTGACTGATACGTAGTGGGTGCTAATGAATGATGACTATCATGTTTAATTCAATTCTTAAACAAAGCCTCCGAATCTACATGAAATAAAAGAGCAGAAGTAATGATAACTTGAACCTTAGCTTACATGTGTTCTCCTGATTTGTTTTAGGAAAGTAGTAAATCATCCAAAAAGGCGATTTGGTATCCCCATTGATCGGATCGGTGGAAACCGACTTTCAAATTCCAGAGGTTAATTGATCCCAATCGTGAGTACTATTTGAATAAGTAAAAATAAATAATAATATGTGCGGGCTTTTGATTAACATTTCATAATAGGCTAGTTGATCCATCTTATGAATCCCCCTTTTGATTTTCTAGCATATAAATTCACTTTTTCAAACATTTTTATACTAGTATATTGATGCTAAATAATTAAATGACATGAAAGAAACAAGAAGTATCCTAGATCTGTTTCACCCCAAAAAGTGATTTTGTTACTCTCACAGACTGTAATGATTGAATATTAATATGCAAGTAAGGATTAAAATTCTAATGAACATAACAAATCACCTTGATGAATATACATAAGTGTGTAACAATCCCTCTGTTAAGAAAACACAGTACAGTGACACAGTATCATTTTGTTGATAATAATTACATTACTAGAATTATAACATGGAACATAGGAAAGAGAATGCTATAGAAATTATTAGCCGTGGAATTAAAGACACCTAATCCAAATGCTGGTCCTGTCACTCATTCATTATCTTGTTTCCATCAAGATACCTTATTTTTCTCTATATTCTTCATACATTAGGCAATAATATAGTGGTGTCGTGAAGATTAAATTAGATGCTTGCAATTCTAGAATGTTTTGAACACATAATACATGCAAATAATAATAGCTTGTATTACAGTTCTGAGTACTCCTCTGCTGGGTCCTTACTTCATGATTTTCATATATTGCTTCATTTAAACATCCTGTTTCATAAAGTAGGTACTATTACTACTCCAGTATCTTGAGAAGCAATATTATATAAGGAGTAAAGGTGGGGAGCTGGGGAGGTCTGTCTTCCTGGGTCAAAACCTAGGCCATCTATCTATTAACTGGAGACCCTGCTGAAATTCTGAAGTTCTCCTCCATAAAATAACAATCATTTTTAGCACAAAGGATTGTCCTAAGGATGAAATGAATTGACACATAGTAAATACTTAGTATAGTGGCTGGTGTATGTTAAATAGTCAATATCATGATTAATATTATACAGCAAAGTGAAAGCTTAAGCATGTTAATTTACAAAAGCACTAGGTAGTGAATGATGCAGGTAGAATTCAAAACTAGAAAACTTAAATCCTGTGTTTTTATTTCTTTAAAATTTAATCCTGCATACATAAGCACTAAATGTTGAATATAAAATCTAAGCATTATATATTCTCCCAATATGACTTACAGTGGGTACATTCTCTCTCTCTCAAATAAATAAGATAACCTAAGACTATTGTCTGTCTTGATAATTTCAGGCTACAGAAGGGAGAACTTTGTTTTCTGTTATTCTCAAGTTGAATTCGAGCCACAGATGTGGAGGCTGAAGAAACATATTAGCCTTGACCCTATTTTAATTTAAATCATGTCATCCTCTCACCCCAATGTTCTAAAATACAATGAGAAGTCAGTATTTTCCCTCAACTTTCTCATTCTCAGAGTGACTTAGTAAAGGAATTTTGTTGTGCATGGAGTGGCTAATTAATGAAGTTTGCAGCTACCAAACATTTATAAATATAGGAAACTTAGTGGATACTGCCAAGAACACTGTCTTTTGAGCAACACCGTTTTCAAATGTCAGATTTCACTTTCCTTATATCTAAAAAGATGCAAAGTATGGTCACTCTTCCTGGTGGTTAAAAATCACATTATTTTTGTGTATGAACTAAAAATTAAAAATCAAGTAACTCCTTGAAATCAGGGTCACAATCCTCTGGCTTCTTGATATCTTAAGAATATTAAAACATTGAGATTAAAATAATGAAATTCTGTAATATATGAAATTCATTTTTCATATAAATCATCATATGTGGTTTTAGACCATGAAAACTGTGAATAGCTATTCACCCATGAAAAGGAATTTGAATTAATATATGCTTCCTGACTCACTATTGGGTGAAATCCAAATTAATTTGTTATGACCTTCACTTAAAGACTTTGCTTAAAATTATGACAATCACTCCCTTTATTATTGACATGGCAAGAAAATTATATCACAAAAGAATTGGTTTAGAAAAGAACTTCATGTCATATTTTTTTCTTTCCCTTTTGTCAATTACCGACTGACACCTGCTCAACCATTATTTCTATTCATTATTTCCTGCCACTGTATACCAATATTTTTCAGATATTTTTTGACTTCCTCATATGAAGTTTCCTGTTTTAAAGTTTATGGGTAATAAAAGGCTTAATATATATTACAAATATATTTCTATTCAAATTTTCAAAATTATTCTTTGGTATCTTATTTCTTATTGTCACAATATACCTTTGGATTTAAAAGGAATTATTATACATGTATCTTATAGATAACAATTTAAAGTTATTAATGTTCACACAGTCATGCAGCTAAGTTGTAAGAGATTCAAGAACTGAACATGTCATTTAATCCAATCCTTTTGTATTTTTGTTTCTTAAAAAATTACATGAGTGCTGTGCGAGAAAGTTTGATTTTCCCTAAATCTTCCAGACGCTCAGAGCCAAGATGTAGTACCCAGGTCTCTGAACTTCTAGACTCACATGCTCTTCATGACCCGTAAAGTATCTTTGCTACTAACTTGTCATTGCTGGATGATAATTTCACTGGCGATACATTTAAAGAAAAAAAAAAAAAAACAGGAACAATATCTCAATCTTTATGAAAACTTTGTTTCGCTTCTGTAGGAGTTGATGCTTTTTTGGAGCAGGTTTATTTATGGGTTTTTATATTCTGGGTTTCAATATAAGTCCTCACAACAAAAATGAAACTGGTGCCTAATTGTGGAAGTTTTGCTTGGTTTGTGGTCAAATCTAGATACAGCTGGTCCTGTGTTACCTAGTTTCCAGAGTAAAAGTGTTTCCCTAATATGTGTTTTGGAAAGGAATATAATCTGATATTTACACCATGTCTTCCTCAGGTATTTAACATATTAGGCCAAAGTTTTGAGTTTGTGTTACCCTCAGTTCTAAACTATCAAATTCAGAAAGGCATTTTTGTCTAAGGTTTCACAGATTCTCTAGATGTCGTGAGCAAGTAGTAGGTCTTTGCTTTTGAAATCAGAAAGCCTACTTCATGAAATCTGATAGAAGTAGGACTATTAATTGTGCTACCTTTTGCTGCACATGTATTAACACATTTGATAAGGTAAGGTACATATTGACACACAGTCATTCAAATACCTGCTGGTCAGAATGTAATTCTTAAATAGCAGAAATAGCTTGTTTAAATGCCAGTTTGATTGGAAGCTCCAAACATGACCAAAATATTGTATTTATTATCAATATTATAATCATTATTACCATATTATATATTATCAATATTACCATAATAATGAACAAAGTACTACTCAGCTTTTCTTTATCTTAATCATTTCAGCATCCCTAGAACCAAAATTGCAAATTTAAAATAAAATCAGAATATAACAGGTACCCAAAGAAAGGAAGTGTGGTTTGGGACAGGTACCTACTTAACTTATACATTAAAAATGCTCTCCTTAAAAAATTTTGTTTCTGAAATTGTTATTTTGCATTATTATCCACACAGTAAAAACAAACCACAAAAATAAAGGCTATAAGAAACTATCATGCAATTAGAATTTTAGCTCCTTTCAGATGAAGTTGATGGATTTCCCCCATCTGTGGAATTCTCGTTAGCTTTAATAATTTCAACATTCATTTTTGCAGATGCGACTTCCTTGGGTGAAAGGTCACAGCAACATGAAAGATGCTTCAGTGAAGTTCTTCACACTCCTTAACAATTAAACTTTTAAGGAACTGGTCTGCATATTCCCTCAAAGTTTGAACTTCAGTCCATCACATCACAGTGTGGTTATAACTTCAATTAATTTATACAGATTACTTCAGTGCATGGATTTTTAATTACATATTTTAGTCATTTAGGGCTGGCTCATTTTCCCCCAAATTTACCCTTCTAAAAAACAAGTACAGCAAAATGTTTTCTCTATGCATTTACCACTTAACATTTACACAGATGAAGAATAACTGAAGACTGATTTGTTTCTGTAAAATTTAGATACAATCTGCTCATTATTGGGGAATAAGGAAAGACATTGCTGTATATTTTCTCCTGAAGACTTCCACTTCTCTCTTATCCTTTGTAAACCTTTTAAGTAATGATTATGAAATGAGGTTTGTCTTATGTTCAGATTTTAGTTAGTCTCAACCAACTAAAGCACAGTCCCAGTTTCAGAAAAAAGAAGCAAAAGAAGTCTCTAAGCAAGGAAAAAACAACAGTAATAAGGACCATAAATTTTATTCTTCCAAAGAACTGAGGAATTAGCAAGTGAAGGATATTACTCATTTGTAAAGTGTGGATAGCACATGGCCCCTAACAACTTGCCATTTCTCTAAATTAAAATTGATAATTAAAAGCAACAGTGACTGATTATGAGGGAAACAACCACACAAAGAAATAATAACTGAAGTATGGGGGAATTCAGAGAATTAACAAGTGGTAAACCACCAGATCAGTCTGGGGCCAGTAAAGCAGACAGAATTTTAGCACAAGATCATAAGCAATCTTTTTGATGTTACTGACCCACCTAAAACACTGTTTAATGTTTATTCATACACTGTGTTTAATATTGCTTTAAAGAGTATATTGTATTTGAGAATGATTCTTTAAAATGATTCAAATTATTTTTAATTTACTTATCAAAACACAGGATTGATACTCTGGAAAGCTCAATTTTCAGCAACCATGGTGATGTTACTCTAAATTAGACACATGAAGCCCATCGTGCTTTAGATACGCTTTTAAAGCAAATCTCATTCCTTAGAGATTTAGCGTGTTAGCAGAAGTTTATGAAACCGCTCGAAAACAATTACTGAAACCCTAGTGATCACTTTCAAGAGACCAGGTAAGAAAGTTCGGCCAGTTGAGCAGAGATTCATTTTCGCATGAAAAGGAAGAGTGTTATGAGGCAGTATAACTATATTAGAAAAAAATGGAGAAATGTTAATCTTACCTAGAAATTAACGTACAATCAAAGAGTAAAATATGCTCTAAGAAACATAGAAATATATGTTTTTGCGTATAGCTTTGTAATTTGCAGGAAATTTTTCATATTGCTAAAACTTCTAAGTAAGTTTAGAAAAAAGGAGCAAATCATTCTTTTCTTAAATAATGGGGTTGTCACAGGAGAAATAAATTTTGAGGAAGATAACAATTCTGTTTTTCTTAAACTCATATTAGAAATTTAGCAATGGTACATAGACAAATAGCCTATAGGACTCACTATTTGAAATAATTATTTAAAAAATTAGATTTTGTCTTACCTGCCTTTCTCCAACCTTCTGATGAATTATGGAAACATATCCTATTCCTTGGAAGCTTCTAATCTCACTGGGTGTTGCTGCTTCATGCTTTGACAAAGGGTATTAAAACCTATTTTAGTCAAAAATCTTCATGGTAAGGATTTAATGTTGTATTAAATTGATTTTCTATCTTCTCTATTATTTTAAATTCAAATGTATGCTTATGGAATCCAATTCAATTAAAGTAATATATCACAATATATTGTTTTATACTCTATTCTAATGTGTAATACTTTTGTCTAATAGTATAATATATACAAAAGACTTCCATGAAGAAAAAAAATGTTTTCTCCACTGATAATTATTTTATTTCATATTTTAATTTTACCACTACTTTAGAGGAAGTAGAAAATGTCAGCAATATATTAGTTTAAAATAGGGTATTCTTTTTGCATAGTAGTAAATTAAGACATAATTTTTGTTAAGAATATGACGATTCGTCTCATTTATTTGTCTAGTGCATTATGTATTACTAATTACTAGCCCACTATATTTTCATTTAGAAATCGGCAAACTTAAGGGACTGGATTTTTAGTTTAAAATTCACAATGAAATACATTGCTTTCTTTTTCTCTTTTGTTCCTGGTGGCACTTCATAGAACAAACTGTGAATATGGATTTCTGAGCCCTGGTGTCAATTAGATAATCAGTTCTTCAGGAGAGAGTGTTATATCCCAGCTTCGTTATCTTCAACTTTTCTCTAACTCAAATTGTACATCCAATCTACAGATGACTTTAGGGAATTACATTTCTTAAGGCAAATTATTAAAAAATAACCAATGGATTCTTCAAAAGGAAAAAAAAAAATAATGACTGCTTTCTTGAGTAACATTATTCATACCTAAAAGTTTGAAAGGCTTGAATATTGGTCAACTGCTCCAATGTCAATAAACATGAGATGATGAAAACAGGAGTTTTTGTCTTTATTTATGATAATAAAATATTTGCATTCACAATGAGTTTAAATACATGGTAACAATTTCAAGAATTATTGTACAACGCATATGTAAATTTGAATGGTTTCCGTCAAGTACATATGTAGAGCACTGTAGGTATATTACTTCATTTGTTCTATTTTGCTGAATTTGATCTGTTTTCTGTATTTTTATTTTTCATCAATTTAAGCGATATTGTTTATTCCATCTTATGAAGATAGTTTTGTTTTTAAGTGCCAAGCAATTAATAGTCTATAGATTAAACTATTTTTCCTATATTTGAGCAAAGAATATGCATAGGTTCATTTGGTCAGCTACCACATATTATTCTAGTCATTTCTATTCTTTAATTATAAAGGTACCTTGACAACATTTCTGTCAAAATAACTATATTTTTTTTTTATTCAAAATGGAAGTTTTATTAATCAAGGGGGGATAGGATCACCCATCCCCCCAAAATGAGCAAAGTGTGTGAGACATTCAGAATAGGAGGTATTAACTTGAATCATATCACCATTAAAGGTTTCCAATGGGAAAGATTATTTTATTTTATTTTTTTTAATTAATAAATTTTATTTTTATATTCCCCATATAATTGCAATCCCCCCATTCTGTCCCCAATCCTCCCCTCCCGCCCCCCCCCCCAAAAAGTGTCTCTGGTTCATGGTTTTTGTTGATTTTGATTTTCACTTTCTTATAGTTATTCATTTTCCTTGTCCCTTATTTAAGTATTCTAGATTCCTGCTATGAGTGAGACCATCCGGTATTTTTCTTTTTCTTTTTGGCTTATTTCACTGAGCATGATCCCTTCCAGCGCCATCCATGTTTCTGCAAATTGCATGTGTTTATCTTTTTTGAATGCTGAGTAATATTCCATGGTATATATGTACCACATCTTCTTGATCCAGTCATCTATTTTGGGGCATTTGGGCTGTTTCCAAAGCTTAGCTATTGTAAATAGTGCTGCTATAAACATATGTAAATAGTGCTGCTATAAACATAGGGGTGCAGGTGTTCTTTGGAATTGATGTTTCTGTGTTCTTGGGTAAATACCTAGGAGTGGAATTGCAGGATCCTGTGGAAGCTCTATGTTTAGTAGGTCCAGAAATCTCCACACAGCTCTCCATAGTGGTTGGACCAGTTTGCACTCCCACCAACAGTGCAGAAGAGTTCCTTTTTCTCCACAACCTCGCCAACATTTGTTGTTGCTAGTTTTTTTAATATGTGCCATTCTCACTGGTGTAAGATGGTATCTCATGGTAGTTTTGATTTGCATTTCCCTGATTGCAAGTGATGTTGAACATTTTTTCATATGCCTGTTGGCCATTCGCATTTCCTCTTCAGAGAAGTTTCTTTTTAGCTCCTCTGTCCATTTTTTGACTGGATTATTTTCTTTGTTGTTGTTGAGTCTCATCAGGTCTTTGCAGATTTTTGTGATCAGTCCTTTATCATTAGTGTTGTGTGCAAAAATGTTCTCCCAGTTGGTGGGGTTTCTCTTTGTTTTTGTTATTGTCTCTTTTGCTGTGCAGAAGCTCTTTAATTTGATGTAGTCCCAGCTGTTGATCTTTGCCTTCACTATCACTGCTTTGGGTGATGTGTCTGTAAAGATGTCTTTGATATGCAAATCACGTAGTGTTTCGCCTATATTTCCTTCTATGTATTTTATGGTTTCAGGTCTTATGTCTAGTTCTTTAATCCATTTTGAGTTGATTTTTGTGTATGGTGTGAGGTAGTGGTCAAGCTTCATTCTTTTGCATGTAGCAACCCAGTTTTCCCAGCACCATTTATTGAACAAACTTTCTTTGCTCCAATGCATAGTCTTTGCTCCTTTGTCAAATATTAGTTGACCATAAATCTGTGGGTTTATTTCTGTATTTTCTATTCGATTCCATTGGTCTGTATGTCTGTTCTTGTTCCAATACCATGCAGTTTTGATGATTATGGCTTTGTAGTAGAGTTTGAAGTCTGGGAGTGTGATGCCTCCATTCCCTTCTTTTTTTTTTCAGGAGAGCTTTGGCTATTCGGGGTTTTTTGTGATTCCATATGAATTTCATCAATAATTGTTCTATTTCTTTGAAGAATGACATTTAAATTTTGATTTAGCATTGAATCTGTATATTGCTTTTGGTAGGATGGCCATTTTAATAATGTTTATTCTCCCAATCCATGAGCAGGGGATGTTTTTCCATTTCTTTGTGTCTTCTTCTATTTCTTTTAACAGTGTTTTATAGTTTTCTTTGTATAGGTCCTTTACCTCTTTTGTTAGATTTATTCCCAAATATTTGATTTTTTTTGTTTCAGTAATAAAAGGGATGGTTTTTTTGATTTTTTCTTCTTCAGATTTATTGTTTGTATATAGGAAGGCTACTGACTTTTGCGTGTTGATTTTGTATCCTGCCACTTTACTGAACTGATTGATGAGTTGAATTAGTTTTTCTGTGGAGATTTTGGGGTTCTCTATGTATATTATCATATCATCTGCAAAGAGTGATAGTTTGACTTCTTCTTTTCCTATTTGGATTCCTTGGATGTCTTTCTCTTGTCTTATTGCTCTGGCTAGGACTTCCAGTATTATATTGAAAAGCAGTGGTGAAAGTGGACATCCTTGTCTTGTTCCAGATCTTAATGGAATTGCTTTCAGCTTTTCACCATTGAGAATGATACTGGCTGTTGGCTTGTCATATATGGCCTTTATGATGTTGAGGTACGTTCCTTGTATCCCAAGAATTTCAAGGGCTTTTATCATGAATGGGTGTTGCACTTTGTCAAAAGCTTTCTCAGCATCTATTGATATTATCATATGGTTTTTATATTTCTTTTTGTTGATGTGTTGGATAACGTTGATTGATTTTCGGATGTTAAACCATCCTTGTGTCCCTGGAATGAATCCTACTTGGTCGTGGTGAATTACCTTATGGATACACTGTTGGATTCTGATAGCTAAAATTTTATTGAGGATTTTTGCATCAGTGTTCATTAGGGAGATTGGCCTATAGTTGTTTTTTTTTTGTGTTGTCCTTGTTCGGTTTTGATATTAGTGTAATGTTGGCTTCATAGAACGTGTTAGGTATTATACCTTCCTTCTAAATTTTTTGGAAGAGTTTGTGAAGGATAGGCACCAATTCGTCTCTGAATGTTTGGTAGAATTCATTTGTAAATCCATCAGGTCCTGGGCTTTTGTTTTTGGGGAGGTTTTTGATTACCATTTCAATTTCGCTAATTGTAATTGGTCTGTTTAGGTGTTCTATTTCTTCTTTATCTAGCTTTGGGTGATTGTAGAGTTGTAGGAATTTGTCCATCTCCTCTAGATTGTTGAACTTGTTTCCATATAACTGTTCATAGTAGTTATTAATTATTCTTTTGATTTCTGCTGTGTCCGTTGTGATTTCTCCTCTTTCATTTATT